TCGAAAAATCTTGCTGAACATGTGCTTTCCTGTAGCATATGCTAAGTGAAGGAAAGACATGGCTTTGGTGTACTAGTTTGTCTCTTTACTGTGCTTGTTGCTAAATTTTAATGTTGCGGAGAGAAAATCCCCAAGTATTAGGAGATTCATTATTGAGTCAGGCATGGATACTTAAGAAAAGATACGGAGTTAGAGGTAATTACAAGAAGCAGCATACTCTAGAAGTGTGTCAAAAGTCAAAACATGCCACGGAGTTAGAGGTAATTACAAGAAGCAGCATACTCTAGAAGTGTGTCAAAAGTCAAAACATGCCTACTGTATATGAAAATTCAATATTAGTACTATTTATAAATCTGAAGAAAGGATGTTTCTGCTCTGCTAAACATCCTTTACTTTTGGTGGTCCTCTCAATACTTTTCAGTCCATTTGTTGGTGTTTTTCCCATCTTTCTTAAATCATGGAACTGAATTCCTTTTTTCGGATGGCATTTGAATGAAAATCACATGCACGTCCTTTCTTGATACTTCAGCTAACAGTTATACCATCTATAGAGTACTGCTTTAGCTCTATGTTAGGATTGTGAAATTTCCAGTAAATGTTATTTCTCATTGCATGATTGCTTCTTTAATGTGTTAATTTCACCTATCGTGTTGTTTATCCGCAGAACCAAAAAGTTACTTTTCTTTTAACTTTAAACTTCTCTTTTCTTTAGAAGGTAAGGTATTATTCTGGAGCTTACAATGTCCAAGCATGAACATATAAGGTTAAAACCTCCCTATCTATTTTTGGAGGAATTCTGTAACGTCTAAGATAGATTCTGCCTTATTAGAAGTTCTTGCTACACCAAAAGGCAAGCAAAACTATACAGTTTCATTTTATCTTCTGAATTGAGTTAGTTTTGGCTTCAAAACATCTCATATTTCTCTCCTTCCAAACTGTCCACCGTATACAGTAGCACGGGATTCTAGATTTTGCACATGCTTTGTTTGAGAATAGCTAGAAAAGTAGTTGATTCTGCACATGTGGCTGTGACTACTTAAAGTTTAAACTAACACTGATATTTTGTATTCTAATAATTAATCATGTTTTAATCATGAATAGAAGAAAAGTAGTTTATTGATGCTCTAAATATAACAGTTTTGATGACTATTCTCAATGAAGTTTAAGGACCTGAATCCTGATAGTTCATCAACATATCTTACATCTAGTAATCTCATAGATTTTACAGAATCCCTACAATAATGTTATCAGAATATAAACGTATATGCATAACCAATATTTTTTTTGAGCAATATTTAGTATTGCTAATTACATATTATTATTTTATTGACCAGATAACATGAAACTAAATTACATATTCTATTAACTGAAATTGATATTCTGCTTGAATTTCATTTTTGAAACAAAAAGTTGCAATGAAGCTCTCATTAGTGGCTGTAAAGTAGTAATACTCTTTACTTGATAGTATCAGTTTGTGTTCGAACTTGGTGGATGTAATTTTGTTCTATGAATTATTCTACAGGGTGGGGATTTGAGATACTGCCAAAAGTGTTCCCTTTATAAGCCTCCACGTGCTCATCATTGTCGTATATGTAACAGATGTTTACTACGAATGGTATGCCTAGTCTATATTTCATTTTTGTTTTATCTTGATGTACAGTATATTAAATTAAAAGTGTTTCATTTTGGATATAAGGATCATCATTGCGTGTGGATGAATAATTGTGTGGGCCATGCGAACTACAAGATCTTCTTCATCTTTGTTATGTATGCTGTTGTTGCTTGCATATATTCCCTGGTAAGTTTGCATTTTGGCACTCTTTGTACTGTATAATATCTTTGGATGCTCATTCTCAAAAAAAAAAAAAAAAAAATCTTCGGATGCTATGACTGTCTTTTCTTTCTCAAGTATGCTCCATCTTCTTATTGCTGAGATCTATTAATTCAATCCTTGTTATTATGTATATATATGTCTGATCAAGCATAAATTGAGATTTGTTTTCTACCCTCAACCTTTAACAAGTTTTATTTTCATATATTCAGGTTTTGCTTGCTGGTAGCATAACCATAGACTCTCCAAAGGATGACCAGCAAAGTGAAGGCTCTTTCAGAGTTGTATATGTAATTTCCCATGAATATTTTTTGTTCTTTAGTAAATTTTCATTTGTCAATTTGCTCAAGATTTATTCCTGTTGGTAGATTATCTCAGGGCTTATACTAGTCCCTCTAAGTTTGGCACTGGGCTTTTTCCTGTGTTGGCATTTTTACCTGATTATGCAAAACAAAACAACAATTGAGGTTTGTTAACTGTAATATCGTATTTTTTCACTTCTTTTCGTGACATACAATGTGTACAAGCACTAAGAAGGTTATTCATGCTCTCCAGTACCAAGAAGGTGTTAGAGCGATGTGCGTTGCTGAAAAGGGAGGTTATGTCTATTCACATCCATATGATCTTGGTGCATACGAAAATTTGATAGCAGTAAGACATTATTCCTCTTGCTTTCTCCTCCCAGTGTTTCTTCTCCTTGCTTTAACGATAACCTTCAGCTTTCTCTTTTTTTTTTAAATCGGTGTTATTTTTCTCTACTGTATGTAACTTCCTTGTTTAACTATAGGATATCTGTTGAGACGCATGTGCTTTATCACACTTGTTACCTGTTTATATCAACGTTTGAATTAGTTTTCCTTTGCAATGCAGGTTCTAGGTCCAAATGTCCTTTACTGGCTGTTGCCCTCCACAAAACATATAGACTCTGGCCTTCGTTTTCGGACATCATTTGATAACGTACCGAGGACGCCTGTATCAAAATGAAATGTTTCTTCTTACAGCAGAGATGTAAAGTGTTTTATCGCCAAAGCAGTTTGGTGCAGCTGTGTAAGTGTAGCTTTTACCTTGTAAAGTAGTAGCTCCACTCTTCGTGTAAAGGAGCTAACAAGAACCCTGTTTCAGACTGCCAAACGATACAAAACGGAGGCAGTCATCAACTTTTTTGTATTCTAACAGTTATAAGAGATGTTCAGTCCTCCATCGGCAGTCGCACTGTAGTCGAAGGTAACTAGAGAATTGAAGCAGTTGGACATAGGATACTAGCATTGTTCATAGTTGTGGGTTATTTACGTGATGTACAAAAAGAAGTTCCCTTTCCAAGCTAACTTAGAGCATTCTGCTGTAGCTCAAATGGTTGTAAATTGTAATACAAGCAAGTTGCAACTACAAAATGAGTTAATGTTACCTGTAATGTTTAATTTTTTACAAGTTGTCAGACAGATAAAATTTCGTATTATCTTTATTCTACCTTAACTTGTTAAATTCTTGAATGGTACGTACACTTAATTCACAAGTTCTACTAACTGATTAGGGGTTGTTTGGTATAAGAATAATGCAAAATATAGTGTATTAGTAATGCTTGTATTAGTTATGCTTGCATTAGTTATGATGAGATTTTCTTTGTGCAAAGTTTGGTTTGGTGTACTAAAAATATTATGCATTACATAATTTTTTTAGAAAAAATATTTGTTTACAAAAATACCCTCTACAATATAGTGGAAAGATTGTAAAAAAAAATTTTGAGGGTAATTGTGTCTTTAATAATGTTAGGGGTCGTTTGGTAGAGTGTATTGGAGAAAATAATGCTTGCTTGATGTATTATTAGTACCTTATTTGGTACACATTTCTAACTATGCATAACTAGTGCTTGTATTAGTAATACACTCTATTGTGTATTGAAGAGTGTATTACTAATACCATCTATTTCTATGCATTAGTAATGCAATGAGTTCTAATGCATGCATTAACATTATTAAAGACACAATTACCCTCAAAAAAAAATTTACATCCTTTCCACTATATTTGTGGAGGGTATTTTTGTAAACAAATATTTTTTCTAAAAAAATTATGTAATGCATAATATTTTTAGTACACCAAACCAAACTTTGCACAAAAAAAATCTCATCATAACTAATGCAAGCATAACTAATACAAGCATTACTAATACATTATATTTTGCATTATTCTTATAACTCTACCAAACGACCCCTTAATGCATGCATTAGAACTCATTGCACTACTAACGCATAGAAATAGATGGTATTAGTAATACACTCTTCAATACACAATAGAGTGTATTACTAATACAAGCATTAGTTCTGCATAGTTAGAAAGGTGTACCAAATAAGGTACTAATAATACATCAAGCTAATGTAAGCATTATTTTCTTCAATACATTCTACCAAACGACCTCACAAGTTTTGTGGATACACAAATTTTCATAAATTTTCATATTTCAACTTCAAAATTTGTCCTATAATGTTGTACTCTTTTTGTTTCAATTTATGTGGCACTTTTCATTTTTTGAAAGTCAAGCAGTTTAAGTTTGACTGGTAATTTATGCATGAAATTGTCAATTTTTTGTAAATGAAATTTATATATTTGTAAATATGTAAAAAATACTACAAGTATTAAGTCACAATAATTGATAACTCAAAATGTTTGAAAGACCTATGAAAAACTTATGGTAAAAAATAGACTTGGTTGAATCTTGAAATTCGAAAAGTATCACATAAAATAGGACGAAAGGAGTATTATTTATCATAGTTTTGTGGATGCACATATTTTCAAATTTCAATTTCAAAATCTGTGATCAGGAATTGTGGTGTCACAATAAAGTCTTCTCTTCTTCAATTTTATTTCTAATTTTTTTTTATAACGAGCTTATAGGCAACTTATGTATTTTTTTTTTGGTATGGAAAAAATTATGTTGAGCGTCACTCCTGAATGGATAGTGGTGTGCTATTTGTGTTGGGAGCGTCACCCCTGAATAGACCGCATTCAGATTTCGTGTTGGAAGTGTCACCCCTAAATAGGCCTTGCATTGAGATTCAAATTTAATGGAACTCCCACGCGGATAAAAACCAAAAAAAAAATGTATTTTTCCAATCTTTTAACAAATTATTGCTCGATCACCATTCATTCTCCCTATAAGTTCCCGTAGTAGACCTGAACCCAAGTAGTTATCAAGAAATTCACAGCAGATGTCATCTTCCTCTCATCCATCAATGGCGCTAGCTTTCTACAGCTACTCCCCCTGTAAACCCTCTTCTTCAACAAATTCCAGTTTCCTTAGTTCGTCATCTCACACGAAGCAGCCGTCAAATCTTCTCTTTCCTCTGAGAAAAGTACTTCCATTTTCCACAACTACACCTCTTACCTTTTCATTTCTCAATTAACCATAATTAATAAACTTTCCTCTTCTTTTTTCTTGTAGAAATTCAGGCAGCAGAGTCGGAGCTTATGTATCGTTAGCGGGTCGGGTTCCGATGAGAGCAACTCTCAAGGTATGTGACTCCATAGCGGAGCTAAGATTTTGAGTTTATGAGTTCTAAATTTTGAAAATAATTGATAAATTATTTATACTTGTTTATCAATTTAAAAAAAGGGGAAAAGGAGGAAAAAGAAAAATTAACCTAAATAGCCATCCAACACGGATTAAACTAAAAATAGTTAGCAATGTGTAATATATGTATAATATGTGTATGACAGTGCATAGTCTGTACATATCGACTCGAAAAATAAACAGTAAATCTGCCCAGCTATTTGTGTAAAGATCCCATTTTTAAAGTAAAACACAATTCTTGTTTTTGGATATGATTTACTTGAACTTGTGCGATTATATTGAGTATGTTGTTGTTGTAAGTGATCAAAAGTTTTATGTAAATGGCACATGTTAAGTATTTATTGGTTCAGTACAAACATCGGATGCAGGTACATTTTTTTCTTTGGTAAAACTGAACAAGTGCACACACTGCTATGAGTTGGATCTTCAATTTATTGGCCAGGAAGAGAGATTCTGTTATAAAAGATGTAGTAGTACTTTGGAGAATAGAATTTAGCTTCAGGCATGTCAATGACACTAGCGTTAAGGATCTTGCGCCCACTCGCCCACACACTGAATAGCATAATTAGGCATATCCCAGGATTGAACAAGCTCTTTCAGTTACAAACCACAAGAGAAGAAAAAATCCCAGCTTAGAAGAAGGTGAAGAAATAGAAAGCAGAGCTTGAAATCTATGTCATTTTGCACTATGTGCCATCTATATATAGGTGTTGCTCCAACGACTTGATAGCGGCTAGTTTGTAACGGATAGTTAGATTATTTCAAGAGGAGACAAAATAATGAATGATAAGTTGAGAGAAATAGGGACACTTCCTTATGAGTTACCCACAATTTCCAACAGATTTTGGGTTTGAGTAGTTTTTTAAGATGTTGGGATTGCATTTTGCTGAAATTTGGTGCTTGCTTTTTGAATTCAGATGATGATGTAGATAATTTGGGGGTCAAAGCTGCATTATCAATGCTCAAGTTCTATAAAAGTAAGTTGTGGATATGTTTTAGCTAAAATTTTGACACTTTTGTTCTTCTTATTCTGTTGAGCTGTTTCGAATTTCTCACTTTATGCTATAAAGACCGGCAGGACTGTGTAACGGTTGACTGTTAAGCAGGGGAAATCTCACCAATAATGCCAAAAAGTTGCCGCTATATACCAACATGCAGTGAATACTCCATGATCGCTTACAAGAAATATGGAGTTGTTAAAGGGACAGTTTTGACTGCCTGGCGTCTTTGTCGCTGTAACCCTCTAGGTAATGTTGTTCCATCATTGGCTTTAAAACTCTTGAGGTCACTCTGAAACTTAGTGAAGTGAAATTTGGCATGTTCTACTACTAGCTTCGAGCGAGATACTTCTAACTTTGTTGATAAGTCTTGGAGTAAGATCTTAGTATGTCACTCATACTATATTTTCAAACATGCCAGGAGGATCTGGTTTTGATCCCCCGAGATGGTTCAATGAGGGAAGTCCACCACAGGAATAACACTTAATACTCCACTAAACAGAAATACAGGTATCTGGCTTTTGATAATGCAAAACCTTGTTACTGTAAAAAGTATATAAGGATTGTTTATTGTATTCTGTAATGCAGGTCAAAGTAGTGTCCTTCTCTAGCTGATATAAAATAGATATATTTCTTGTTTTCTCGATGCAGTTATCTTCTAATAGGTTCTGGACAATCATGTGAGCAAAAAGACTGTTAATGTGAAGATTCGCATAGGATACGAGTCTTCGGTGTTCTTGGAGGAGCACAGTGGCAAGCATTAGGGCAGCAAAACTAAACCAAACCCACAGTAGACCACATTTGAAAGTAAACAATCTACACCAAACCTGCAGTAGACCACATTTGGAAGTTACTTATCTACCTTGTTACTTAGATATTCATACACAGTTTAAATTCACTATTGTAGTAGAATTCCAGATCCATAAGTGAAGTGAAACTGCATATTCAGAATTATTCCTAATTTGCTTCAGTATTGTTTAGCAAACATCATACTTCTACTTGCAGCATAATGTCTTAAAGTTTTTGTTCTCTTATTCAATTGGAGTTCAAGTTATGCTCAAGACTGTATCATCTACGCGATATTGCATCTGTCCCCCCTTACCCTGTGATACTATCGCTGCACTTTTAGCCCTACAATGTATTTGAAGTGGCACATTTGATCCTATTTCACGAGGACCAGAAGTACAAAACTCATTTCTTTTGGCTGCATATAAGCTTGAGGCAAGTATGAGGTAACTTAAGAGTCATTGTGAAGCTTCACAAGCTAATATCAAGACTTGATTGAGTTGCTTCGTTTGTTCAGAATTGTTTCCCCAATTCTTTTACTTCTTTCGCGTAATCTCAAATTTGGAGGGAGGTCATTTTCAGTTAATTTTACGTTGAATTGGACCACAATTACAGTGATTGATCTTGTGTATAACCAGTATTCTATAGCTAAATGGAATGAACTTTGCCATGAAGTTTCTGTTTGCTGCCCAAGTTACAAGCTAACACGAGAAAGTGTTGAAAATGTATTATTGTCTCATCTCACAAAACCTTATGTAACGCCTTGCTGAATGATTTACCTAAACAAACTCAATTAACAGGGTGGGGGATGATACACAACGATCAATTAACAGCGCAATTTTGACCCATCACAACATTTCATTTATAGGTTTAATGCTACGTATTGCGAGTATAAGAAAACCTCAAAAACCCATACTTTAAGTGCAACCATATGTACAAAACACTAATCAATCTCAAGATAGATAAAATGTAGGAATTAACTCCCTGAAAAAGAATGCAGACCTAATATAGGCCTAATACAGTAAAAGAGAAAAAAAGGTACTCTGCAAAAAAAAAAAAAACAAGATACAGATAAGAGGAACAACTAATTATGCTGAAACTACTGAATCTTCATATTGCCAAGGATTGAATTCAGTCGTTTTAGCGTCAGCCTCTTCAACATGGTCAGAACTATCAATAGCAGCACGATGTTCATGATATTTGCCATTGTACTCATACACCTCCAACTCACCCCAAGGTGTAGGACAAATTTCATTAGATAAGTTGAACCATTTTGGTTTGAATTCGTCACCCTTGCCCTCTCTTGTTCTCCTGTCAGCTCTCTGCCTCTCCTCCAAACTGTTTAAATAAAACCAAATACACCAGCAAAAGGTAAGAGATTCAGACAATTGTGGCCGAATAGGAAAAACTTAACTATGCACTTAAGGAAGATGTGAGGCCGGAGGGGGCTTGTTATTTTATTGTTCAACCAAAAACTATTTTTCCTATGGAAATAAAGAACTTCATGATGCAAGTTGAACTATTTGTTTAGTTGTGTAGTAACAACTATAACAGCCTGGTATTTTCTTTTCTCTGTCCTCTCTTTCCTGTCCAAGTGCATTAATGAAGCTAGAAAGATCAAATTATTTTTAATTTTTATTTTTTTGAAAATGTCCACCCCAGAATGACAGCTGATACACCGACGGTAACAAACTGGATCGTCGTTTTAACAACAAGACCATGTGCACCGATTGTGGCTCACTACAAACAATAGACCCAGGAATTTATTCCAGGGGTTCAAAGATATCACACTTGGATTTGAGCCTATGACCTAAACCAATTTATGACTCCCCCCCCGGCCCCCCCTTGCACATAATTAGAACTTTCCTTGTGTCAAGGGGATTCAATAGCTTATATACACAATAATAAGAAAAAACTAGGTTTTACTTTTCTATTTAGATGAAGAGGATTCAATGGAACTACCTTCAAGATAAGCTTCGCCCTGACTGCAAAGCAAGAGTATAATCGAGGAGAAGTGGACTGGTGGAGTACTATTATTAAGACAACAACTTCATGCCACAGAAAGGTCCAATGCTCTAAATTTGATATTTAAAATGCTAAAGTTCACGATGCACACAAAAGCAAAGAGAGTAACATGCAGATTGACAAAAGGACAACTTAGAGAGAGATGCATACCGGCTCTTTTCTGAACTAGCTTTGGACACATCACCTATCTCAAGTGCGTAACGATCAGGGCGCAAGCGAGAATCAGATGCTAATAATTTCTTAGGTGCAGTATCAAAGCTATTAATCTTGTGTGCAAAATATGTATACTGAAATTTGTCATTTTTAGGAGCTTCGGCAGCTTTCCAGACCTGAAACAAGCAAGAATTTGCAAGTGCAAATTTGATTAGATTAATAGTCTGCAAGTTTCACTTGACCACAACTATCACCACTTTAGATAAAAGATGCCATCAAGCTTCATGCAACCTTATGAACCAGAATAATTGCACCATGTCAGGTTTCAGATTAAAGAAACTCAAGAGCTCAATGTAAAATTAAAAACTACCCTAACTTCAATGATATGCATACATGTGAACATGACCTAGAGTAATTTGTCATCTATCCTAGCAAAAATTTGGAAATTGCAAACATATGACGCATATTTTAACCTAACTAATGTTTGTCTGAGAAAATTCAAATACTATTGCAAGCTCAGGAATCAACATACTTCAAGTCATGACGAGGACTTACGAAAAAGAACCAAAACAACAGAAAGATCTGGCCAGGGGTTACGATTAAACAAAGCAAACACAATTTCAGCTTAGAAAAATAAGGAAAAAGTGAAGTTGCATTGGACCAAAGGCGTTACTATTGAAGAAAGAAAGCTGAAATTCACCTCTTTCATAGTGCTGCCTGGCAAGGGCTCCCCTTCCAAATCACAGGGTTGATAACTTATAGATTCGTTCCATTTTCCAGTCATCAAAATTTTAGGTTCTTCCTCACTGTTGTAAACATATCCATCAACTTCATAGCGACCAGCACTGCCAAAAACATGATAGTTAAGAAAAATTAGAAGGCAAAAGGGAAAAGAAGGAAAATATTTGATAGACAATCAGGTTTATAAAAGAAAAAATAAGAAACAAGGAAAATTTAAGTCAGAACATCTTCTCTACAACCTCTTATTGGCAAGGAATATGGAATTAAGTTGTCTTAGGACCCAGATATAGAAAACAGTAACATTCACTTTTCCGGTAGGCAATGAACCATTCACCCGGGGACAGAGCTCTGTACAGGTTAGCTTGATAGATGCTAATATTGAAGTACAATAAGGAAATAGTATGCTTTAGACTTAAGCTTAAAGTTAGTCTGATAACCATTTTTGTTTTATCAAGTAAAAGTATTTTCATTCAAAGCTAATCTATAACCATATAGAAGGAAAGCTAGAATCATCAACATTATTACTCGAAGAAATAGAGAAAACGTTAACATTAGTTGACATCATTTACTAAAGCCGGGGTGCACTAAATTGACAGTTCCTTTGATAGCGCAGAGGGCAGGCAACAAGTCATAATCGCTATAAGAAACTAGGGATCAATCACAAACCCTCCAAGATTCAAGAACCTGGATCTCTAAATCAAACCTTCACAAGGAAACAAGGACAGGATTTCATTCTATATTGAAACACCATACTAATGGAAAAATGAGCTTCCAACCGAGACCTAATTGGCAGTGGACAGAGTACCTATAATCTTTATCACATCCTCTGGTATTTCAAATTTTATGTTGGGCATTTATCCCTTGAACTCTCTCTTCCACTATGCGCTAATTTGAGCAAGGTCCAAGGCGTCCGCCAAGAACTTCTTGGTGGTGAAGAACGAGAGCAATCAGTACTTCCTTTGCTAAGAAAAGACCAGAATATGTGAAAGAAATTTGAAGGAAAAAAAAAACCGTTCTTTTACACTATGTACTGTTTGGTTCTTAATTGATCTAAAGGGTGTATTTTCCCAAAGATCCATGGAAGGGAAAGTATTCTGGCACTTTGTTGTAGTAAAACATCGAACGGGTGAAGAGAAGAGCAACAATATCATCAATCATACCCAAACCAGCCACAAGGTTGAAAATACAGCAACACTTTATCCCCTGTCGTCAAGTTCGTCAATATCATCTCCCCAGGAGAATCGATCCATGTTCGCCCAAATATAAGATTGTGAACTTTTGTTGGAGGCGGCACCAAATCTAGGACAACACCAGACTTCTTCAGTGTGAGCCTTGACCTGCACACAATAGAATGAACCAAAAATCAAGATACAGAAGGACTTGGTCTGCAATTTGTGACATAAGTAAGCATTTTTTTAGCTGGAACCAGATATAGGGGCCATGCAACTGTTAAAGTTATCTTCTAATTAATCATAGAGTGGATATGTAACATGAAGAAAAAAAATAGTGGTAGAAAACTGATGATCTCCCAATGTATAAAGTTTGTGCATGCTGTCTTTTCAGCTATACTTCAGGAACAGGTCGCAAAAAGGCAATCACCTCGTAGATAGTTAGCTGTCAACTAATATATCTGAAACATTATCCTGCATGCTATAGTCAACATTTCTGCTACATCCTGAAGTTCACTAAATAGTTCTAATTCTACACTAAAGCAGCACTCAGACTTGGCAAAAACAGAAGGAACCATCATCCAGCCAGAAGTAAAACTACCTGTTACACAAACATGGACATGTTTCAAACAGACCCTAGAGGCTAAATAAAGATACTTCTCTTTTAAGGTCCCCCAAAAGAAACTGCCGATCTACTTGTGTGATTTATTGAAGAGCTATTAACTTCTTCCTCTCCAGAATTTTGGGTGTTTTAAGGTTCTCTTAAGGTTTTATCAACAAAACAACTACATATGCTCTCTTAAACAGGAAATCGACATCCTGATAAATAAGAAATTATTCGATTTAATAGGTCCTACCTGCCAAGTGGATAGACTTCAACTGAGTTCCCCAAGAATTTGGATTTCACCTTTGAGGTGATATCATATTTGAAATGTTCGTTTTCTGCATGTGCTGCACCAATTGGGGGGTGATGACAAACCTGATACAGT